ACACCATCAATCAAATAGGATGCATGGGGGTGAAAGATTACTCACAGTTCTCCCAATCTGGGCCAAATTGCACTGGATGGCTCTCATATTTGGAAGAGAGCTGTGGCTTTCTCTTTGCATACAAATGACAAAGTCTCCCACTCAATCTGATTTCTCCTTGACACAAAGAATGTGATGAGAGTCACAGATAGAGTGCTGAAAGAAGATACCACCAAACATAGATATATACTAGGAAACAGGTCCTGACAGATATGGAACTTTTGGGGCTGATACCGATATCGATATTGGTGGGAGAGAAACACTCTGATACTAATATCAGCCGATATCTTTATTTGAGCTCTGTTCGATTTGTAGAGATTGATCAAGTTATCGCGTTGATCCCTCAAATTCCGTTGATCAAACACTTGTGGAAAAGATTTATAATGAAGACAAGATGGTCACTCAACTGGAAATCAACTGTGCATGCTAAAACTGCTTGACACTATACACCTCACAAAGAGAACTGCTCATGTAATACAATGATACTCAATGAAATGCTATTTGACTGGTGAATAAATCAAATAATATCAGCACATATATGTTATAAAATTAGCCAATACCATAAGTTACTGCTGATACTGATAGTATTGGCAGCCATGGGCGTCATTATGGGGGGAAAACTGGGACTGACTACCCAGGGCCCCAGTGGGGAGGGGGGCCTTTCATGGGCCTGAAATAAAAATGTATTGAATGAATTTTTAATTCAATAAGCTAACCATTAAGATCACTTTAGACAATAAAAGCCTTTAGAACATTAACTATAGCAAGTTAATAAGTAAAACAATGCTGCTGAAAATGATTCAACTGTCTGAAAGGTGCATATATTACAAGGTTTAAATTATTTTTAAGCTATGAGGAAATATTGCAGTGATTATTTATCTTCCATTTTCAGAGTGTAAAACAAAGCATAGTTCAAAGTTTTTATGGGTCATTTGTGTGATGGATGGTGCGGTCAATTTTTCCGGGTGAGTTTGAGCCGTGGTAGGGGCCCAATGTGATATCTCTTCATGGGGCCCGGAGTTCCTGGCGGCGCCCCTGTTGGCAGCCGATACCCAGTGGCGATTCTGGAGTCTGTCGGGCCCTAGGCAAAAGGAGCCCTCCCACCAGTGCTCAGCAGGGCAACCAGAGTGAATGTTGTCAGATGGGGCCCCACTAGGGAGGTTTCCGACTGTCATTGCAAAATTTGCACATTTTGAACTGCTGTGATTCCAAGTTTATCAACCCTCTGGGGCCCCCTACTGGTCAGGGGCCACAAGCAGTTGCCTGCCTTGCCTGTTGACGAGCAGCGCCTCTGACGATAACGATAGTCACTGGACATGCTAATATGCTAATATCGGCCTAAATGCTAATATCGGCCAATGTTATTGGCTGCCTGATAAATCAGTTGGGCTCTACTTGGAATCAGTTTTAAAAGTTTAAAAGAGGAAATCTGGTTTTATCAAATGCACTAACAGTTACAAAGTGATAACCTGAAAGAATTCCATACTTTCCCTTTTTATCTTGTTTCTTAGAAGAATCAAATTGGGTGATAAATGTGGAGTAGCAGCTGCCTCATTTCCTCCTGTTTGAAAACTTAACTTCTGTTGGTAATCCACTTATTTGGATCCCTTCTGAAAAAAAGGATTTGTTTCCCTCCTTCTAAAACTCTACATACGAGGCTCAAGCTGGGATGAAAAAGACTCCACAACAGAGAAACAGTGTGGCTGCGTTTGGTCAAAACAGATAGTCTTATTAAGATGTCCATCTTGTGGCAATTAGCAGCTGAAACAAACGGATTATGTTATCGATTGATCTGATAATTAACAGAACAACTTTCCTCGGATGATGCTTCTAGCGACTTTGTTTGAAATCGATCTTTTCAGAAATGTGTGTTTTGATCTTTGCTTGTTGGAAACAAAGTAATATTTCTAGAAAGGACAGATCGCCTCGAGATAAAGCTCAAGATGTTAAACAGTTTATCAGTGAGATGAAAACAAAGAAAGCCACTCTTGTCTTGTCACACTCGGGCTCCTGGCAGCTTCATGAATCTCTGGTGTCACATTCTGGATCACATTGAGTTACCCACTTATAGCCAAAGAATGCTAATGAATTCAATGAAGAAGCATTGAAAAGCAAACACTTTAGGTAATGACATGCAAATGAAACTCTGTCATCGTTGTAAAGGCTGTTTAAAGGCTCTGGAAAACAACACAGTTACATCCTAAAAAAAAAAAAAAAAGCTACAAAGCAAATCAAAGGAAGGCAGCTAGTCTTGAAACAGCTTCCAGCAGCCGACTCTCTTCTAAGGCTGATGAAATATGTAATGCACTTAGTTTCCTTTAGTTAGCACCTGCCTCCTTAGAGGCATGTTCCTCCTCTCCAAGCTAAATTACCTGCTCTCAGTGGAGCGAGACACAGCGCAGTGAGTAACAAAGAGGAGAAGTCGAGTGTGTTTTCAGAAAGGGGATGATGAGCTTGAGCTGGTGAGCTGCGCTGACAGACTTTTTATTTTATTTTATTTTTTTTACTCCTTTTCTCAACCTGTGCCTGGATTTTACAGTGACCTTGGCACTCAGGTTACATACAGCACACTCTCTTCACTCAGCCTGAAAAGCCACCTAAACGTCTCTATAAATCCTTCACTTTTCTGTGTGGCAGCAGCTCCAAAGTGTATCATCACAGCGCCTTCTCCCACCAAGAAACACTCTGTAAAGACATTTTCCGTGTAACAATCCATGCTCTTTGTGGAATGAATTACACGGCTCCAGCGTAGACACCAAAGAGGTTGGAGGCAGCAGGCGGGGGTGTGCAGTTAAAATGAAAGAGTGTGAGGTGTATTTCTGTGTCAGTTACAAAAACGACAGATCTGTATCTGATTTGCATGCTTGTTGCTGTCTCTGCATTCTCTCACATAAAAATGGCTTTCTATGAAAGTTGCTGGTAAAGTGTAACGTTAGACTGAATACAGGAGTCGGGAGCTAAATAAATAACCGAGGTCCGTTGTTACATGGTGAGAAGTTTGAAGGCGGGGCAGGACAATAAATCAGTATGATTTGAGAGGTTGTGAATTTTTCCATTTTTGACCTGGAATGACTCCGGGAATAAGAAGAAAAATGGAACTCCAACTGCGGCTTCTGAGAAAAAGTGTTTTTTCTGACCATGTCATTAAATCTTCTGCACGCATTCATGCAGCTAAAGAGAGTGGAAATAACTAAATATTCACAATGCCAGCTTCTTAAGATAATTACATATTTATAAAAAAAAGAAACCCACTGAGAATAAAAATGTTCATGTGGTCTTACATCTGACACAAATGTGCAAAGTGACCATTATGTCTTGTGCATTACATGGGGACGCTGGTGGTTAGTGTGTGTGCCCCATGTATGGCGGGTGGACCAGGTTCAAATCCAACCTGTGGCTCCTTTCCCGCATGTCATTCCCCACTCTCTCTCTCTCTTATATCCGACTATCCACTGTCCTATCTCTCCATTAAAAGGCACAAAAAGCCCAAAAATTAATAAAAAAAATAAAAGTGCATTACATGGTTGCACACTGGTTACTTAGCAACAATTCCAAAAGAAGGTCAATGAGAATCAATCTTGGTCCTGGATGCAAAAATGCTTCCATGTTTCTAAAGTAATAAAGTGGGCGCTTGATGGAGGAGGCAACAAGACTATTAGTTGGAATTACTAACGAGAACTAAAAGAATCAATGACTACTTTACTTTCCTTTTATTGCACATATTGTAGAGTAAAACATGTTCAGATATTGTTAACTACTAGTGCAACTTTACAGATGTGTTCTCATTTTAACCCATGCCACAGTTTCTTTTTTGACCCTGTGAGAACTGAGGATGATCTTTAAGCCACAGAACTGATTTTGAAGTCGGGCCGAATGTCAGCTCCATTTCATATTGTTTACCGAGCAGTGTACAGGAGAGTCAAGGGCTGATCAGCTGCTGCCAAAGGATTCATTTCATGCACAGAAGAAATTCTGGTCGGCAGAATCTTGCGCTGTGTAATCAGAGCCACATGCAAGTTCTCCAACTTCAAGACTTTTTTTACAGAGTTGCCCCTGTGCAACATGTCAGACAGCATGTGAAAGCACCATGCCTGTTTTATATCTCGTCCCTCTCTCTACTAACACGATAGATAAGCACTCTAGCAAACAAAATCTTCACCTTCCTTCTTTTTTCATCTTCAGTCTTTGGGAGTAAAGGAGCAAACTTTACCTTCACACGTCAACAATCTTTCCCGATAGTTCAGTGTGAGCATATCATTCCTGAGCTCTGGTTGTGTGACGTAAATCCTTCAAACTGGGACATTTTACATCCACATCCACGTTTTAAGAAGGCTGTCTTCTTCTTCTTAAATGTGCATTATGCTAGCACTTCATTTAAAATTAACATAACACAATTTGGAAAGTTAAAGTGTCGTTTTGATTTCATGTATTTCTGTGGAATCAGTTTTTCTTTGGTTTTGGTTCATTTGACTACGGAAATGATTCTTCTTATCTTTGAGCGTTTCAGAGAAAAATCTGAATCAGGAAGAACGAGACACTTGCAGGTTCTGAAGCGATGCTTCAACTGAACAAATGTAAGATTGGCTGGTTGTTTTTCTTTGTGCACTGGTGACAGTGGAGAAACAATTACACAATCAGAGGGTTTGAAAAAGGAATAATCAAACAGAGGAAATCCATGAGCTCTCATGATGAACGCCTGCACTGGTTGTCATTAGAGTGATGAATTCTATTGATGTCATCCATCACCGACTTAATCAATCCAGATGAGAGAAGAAGAGCCTGCTGGGTGAAATCGACTTGCATGTGCTATTTGTGAGTTCGGTGGCAAAAAAAATGAGGTCACCTTAACTTGAATATATTAGCATGACGCATGATATCTTCAGAGTCACATGGTTTGTGTCGATGCTGTGGGAGTATCTGAGGCATTTTGTCCAGTTAAAAAAGACATCCGGCTCACTTACCGAGCACGCCAAGCCGGTAGTTCATGGTCACGACGATCACGTTGCCGTAGGCGGCCAGGACGCTGGCATCAAACATGTTTCCGGTGCCTTCCATGTAGGAGCCTCCATGAATAAACAGCATCACCGGCTTCTTCCTGCGGTCGCGAATATCTGCACGAACATAGAGAGAGAGAGAGCAGGGGGGGAAAAGAGAACAAAAAGGAAAAAAGTCAATAACAGTATTAAGGCCTTTCATATTCTCTTTGATCACATATTGTGTTAGACCATAATATACTGAGCAAACAGCAAAGTGCTCGCAGGATGAAAAACAGAGTTTCAGTGTTAAAGCCTGGGAACTGTTCTGTTCGCTGCAGCTGGATGTCAGCTCTTAAAAAAAAGGTGCAGGTAATTTAGATTTCAGCCAATGATTCCGGCAACAGGCAATAAGAAGAGACGACACAACAAGAATCTAATCAAACGTTTCCTGGTGATTAAAGCAGTAATGTTGGGAGGGAAATCACCGGGTAGTGGTCTATATTGGAGCTAACCTGTATATCACTGCGTCTTGACAGCCTTTATTTCACACTGAGGCCCAGGTTGACCGATAACGATGCAATCTTAAAGCTCACCACATGAGAAGCCGTATGAACTAGTGGACCCACCTGCGCTAAGTCGGTTACTAAATTAAAGCACAAAAATGAGGGCAGACGTTTGCAATTAGAGCAAACTGACAATGTACAAATGGTGGAGAGGACAACAAGCGCACACGCTCTGCAGGCTGTGAGAGCTCGAGGTGTCAAAGCTCACCCCAAAGAGCTCTCTGCTGCTAAGAAGAGACGCTTCAACGCTGGGTAAAAAAGGCACTCTGGGGACTACATAGCAAACACACAGTGAAAGTGCAATTTGCAGGTAAAAAAAAAAAAAGAGAAGCCCCCAGTATGACATGAGAAGCCATATTAAAGCAAAGCCTGCAAGGACTAAAGCCGATGTCTGGAAAACATTCTGTGTGCAATCAGCAGATAATAAAAGGCCACTGGCTCTTAATGCATCATGTCTGCTAGGAATTTCCATAATTCCCTCATTTCATTTTGCACCTCAGAACTTGGAGCTCCCATAAATGCAAATTGCAACTCGGGCCCCGGCTGCAGCGACAGCTATATCAACCTATTTCTGGGTCAACTCCCTCGAGGGGGAATCTTTGGAAAACACAGCTTTCTTGGATGGTATCATTTTTGCAGCGGCACATATTGTAAGTGGATCCTGCCTAGTGGTTAAAAAAAAGGGGGGGGGGGGGACGACAAATGAGTGAAAACTTTCATGTGAAAATTGTTTTTCTATCACTGGACAAAAATGACGCAGAGCTTAGTTTTGGGGCTGACTCTTTTCATCTATCTACCAAATTGTCAAAGTCTTCACATCAGAAACACAATCATTCATTTCTACTATTCTGAATTGATCGAAAGGCCAAAATAGATATTTGAAACATCCTCTGTATTGTCCTAAGTAGAGCCAGACCGATTTATCGGCCAGCTGATAATATCGGCTGATATTAGCATATCAAGTGACTATCGGTTTTGGCAAATTTTATCCGGATATGTGCAGAAAGTACTAGATTTATTCTGCAGACAAATAGCATTTGATTTGAGTTTCATTGTGTTTCACTGGCAGTTCTCCTTCACCAGCAGAGGGCGCTGTATGGATTACAACAAGCATCATTACTATCCAGAGTGACAAGCAGTGAGGCAGGTACATGCACAGTTACTTTCCAGTTGAGTGAACATCTTTTCCACAAGTGCATGATAACTGCATTTGATGGATCAACACAATAAATGTGTTTATCTAAATCTCTCTGTACAGATCAAAGATAAATCTAAGAAAGATATCGGCCAATTTACCGGTTTCAGATTTTTTTTCTCTTTAATATCCACATCGGTATCGGACCCAAAAATACCATATCGATCGTGCCCTAGTGCTAAGTAGCCAGTTTGAGAACGGCAACCCCGCTGTTGACATTTTCTTCCATGCACCTTTTCCATCGTCCTTACAACAATGCAGCAAGGGGGTGTCAATCATGGATAGTCAGCCGTGCTGCTAACATTAGCTAGTTCTCAATATCTGTAATGCATGGCTGTGTCCTACATACTAACTAAACTAAAATACATAAAAACTGAAAGTTCCCCACAGGAGCTTTTAACTAACAAAATCCTTCATGACATCAAGATCAACTATCAAACAATTTCTACCCAAAGATATGCCTTTCAGAGAGAATCCCCTCAATGTCAGTCATGAGATGCTCCAACATACGTCTGCTACAGTAGCGTTGTGTGCATGTGTGTGTGTGTGTGTGTGTGTGTGTGTGTGTGTGTGTGTGTGCAAGCAGAAAAGTCCCTGATGGATCCTCGTTGGCCTTTGAACCAGCCTCCCTGCTGACTGAGAGCAGAGATACTCCTGCCTGCCAGGAGCCTACGGTAACATATGGCACACAAGACATAGAACTGTGGCACCCTGACAGCCCCCGTTGGTTTTTCTGTGCGTGTGTGTAGGCTTGGGGTTATAGAGAGCAGTAGTGCAGAACAGCCACATAAATAACCACCACAGCATCTGTTGGAAGGGGAAGAGAGATGGAGGGTATTTGGCTCCCTTTGAAACCTGCTTATATAAATAAATAAATATTTGAGAAATACCTGCTGAAACATGCAGTTAGTGTTTCACATGGAATACACACACACACACACACACACACACACACACACACACACACACACACACACACACACACACACACTGTATTCTTACTACACAGCATTGCCGCTCAAACCGGTACATCACTCAGGAAGACTCACACACACATGGGGAGAGGGAAATTTACAGGCAGCTGCAATGGCGGGTCACTATGGCAACTGCTTCCCTTTGCCTTGTTTCTCCCCTCTTCTCGTTCTCTCACTCTCACCATGAGCCACTGTCACATGGACAAAGTCTCATTGACTGTTGCTGTGGCAACATATTGCTCTTGTGCATCTCTAACCTTCACCTCGTCTCTACCTGCATGTCATTGTATTAGCGACGAAACCACCACGTACACACTTCCTGTACACACACACACTCTGCAGCTATGCAACAAGAGACACAGAGTGACAGCCAGTGGCATCATGGGAGACAGAATGCAGATGTACCCACACACACACCCACATGGTAGACAAACACACTCCAGGCAGCCTGTCACAGTTGACCTGTAGACTCTGTGTCCATGGATCAGTTACAGGGCGGATCGTTCTGGCACAGTGACAGACGGGAGCGAGGCCCTCGGGGCTACAAGCTCTCGCTCTCTGTCTCTCTTTCTGTCTCGGCCGTTCGCTTTCTCTCTGCCTCGGGCTTTGTTGTGTTTTTCCCCCCACCGCAAAAAGTTTAGCATGCCCACTTACAGGCAGGTGGTTAGGTGGCCAGCCCTCAGGATTATTTCTGCACAACTCCTTTCAAAGTTCACAGAAATAAAACACAGAGGGGACCTCAATCATTCATCTGTTCAAAACATGCAAATGTAATGCAGCAAAGTGCCTAATCAGGTCGTCAGCTCTTTTCAAAAACGCTTTAATATATGATATGATACACAACATGCCCACAAATAATCAGAGCTGGCACTGCATGACACTGTAATATGGATGTTATGCATGCATAGTTAGATGATGCAACATGGGGCGGCAGTAGCTCAGTCTGTAGGGTATTGGGTTAAGACCCGTTGGGTTGCCAGTTCAAGTCCTGGTGTGGACTAAATCTGGAAATTGGTCTGCTAGCTGGAGAAACCCTTTAGCAAGGCACCAAACCCTGACCACCGACTCAGAAGCACTCGCTGTGGGCAGCCCCCTCACTCTGACATCTCTCATCATCATGTCCATATGATCCTGTTTGGGAATATGTGTGTATTTCAGCCTGTGTGTGTGTGTGTGCAGCATGTGTCAATAACAGAGTGTAAAAACAGAACAGATCAATAGTGTATGTCTTCTTCTAATAGTTAGGGAAGTAGCACAGTGTCCAGAATATACGCACAAAGCTTTAACAAATCCTGGACATGCCATGAAAGATTATCGGCAGATGGTAAACACTTGAACAGAGACTTGAGCTAATGCTGAGCAGGGACAGGCTTACTCACAGCAGCATGGCAGGGTGGGCGATGATGTCTAACTAAAGGAACAGAAGTACAGTGGAATAAGAGCAAAGCTACATTTCAGAGCAATTTACCTATTTAAGAATTTTACTTTTATTCGACTGTACTTTCTTCTACTGCTCCACATTACAGAGCGAGGTAATAATACACTTTACAGTTCTAATTTCCTGGAGCAATTCACTTTTCACTGAGCAATTATGAAGATTCAAAGACGGCTGAATGTCATAAATGTTTAAACCGATGAGTCTCTTTTAGTCCTGCTGGTCGTTTCCACAACAGTGTATATAATCACGTATGAAATATACGGCGTCTTATAACGTCATATGCAGCACTGACATTTTATTATTATTGGACACTCAATAATCAGGGGCTATCTTAACTGGCTGGACAGGGGTTCAAACTCCACCCACATGTGAAACTATTGTTTTCTGAGAGAGAAAAAAACAACACGACTAATTTTGAATTTTTGCAGTGGAAAACGTAAAAGAAGGTAACATTTTCCTGCTCATGCACCAAACCTCTGGCAGTGATAACAATCATTAAAGGAGCAATGTAAGATATCTACTGAATTAAATCATAAAATGACCTCACTGCATCATCAGACATTAAATATACTTGATTTCTATTACATTTAAGTGTGAAAAATCACATATTAAGCATTTAAGGAAACATGTTATGATGAAGTTCTGGCTTCTCTGACAAATGGTGAATGGTAAAAGGACTTCAAAGTCAAAGTCAACTTTATTGTCAATTTCAAAATATGCCACGTTTGTCTTCGTCCCGCGGTGCAATACAACCAAAATAAGGTAAAATAAGATAAGGTAAAATAGATCAAATAAAATGACGAAAAAATTACAGTAATAAATTCTAAATTGTGCAAAAGGTACAAAATGGTAAATAAAATAAAATTTAAAGAAAAAGTAAACTTGTGCAATATGTGCAATGTGCAGTAAACTGAGTGTACTTTTGAATAGTTGGCTTCAGAGTTATTAGTCCAGAGTTCTGTAAA